GCGCATATTGCGGCGTCAGTAGCGCTCCGCTATTGACGACTGAAAATTTCTGGCCTGTCTCAGAAAAGCGTCTTCAATAGGCAAAACGTCTGCCAACTTCAACTCTGATTCCCATTTATCCAGAAACTCCACGCTCGGTGGACATCTTTACTTTGGGCAGAGAAGCTTATTATGCCCCCCCACTGGAATTACAGGAAAAAGAAACCATCTGACCTTAAATTAAATATATTTATACATTGAACGAAGGCGTCAGTTTACGATTTCAATAGGTTCTCGGTCTAGTTCGAAGGCCCATGTGTAGCTTACTTCCGCCCGAGTCTTCGATGTCGCAGCAAAGTTAGAAAGTCTACGTGCATTCTGGGTAGTGTAGTCAGTAAGCAGAATGGGTCCTACTAAATTCGTCCAGAGGGGGGTTACTATCAAATTATAATTTAAAATAATTTAAAAAGTTATTCTAAAGCGAACAACAAGTTCGAAAGGGCATGTTACTGTTTATTCCGGGGAAACTTTAGACCCTGGCGCCTTTGCCTGGCTTTTTCTCTTTTGCAGCCGAGCCTGGTCCTGGGCACCTCCCCCTAAGTCTAAATTCTGGCACTTCCGGCGAGCCTTCCTGGGCATCCGAGCTGAGGCAGCGGCGGCGGTGGCTGTGAGGAGAGCAACTCTGCGGGCTCCAGTTGTAACATTTGCTGGACGAAGTGGTTTCTGCGAGGCAGAGTTGCCATCATCATGGTGAGCGCGGCCGGGCAGGGGCTGGGACCTGGGGCTGGGGCCGGGGGCCGAGGCCCGGACCTGGCGGAGCGAACATGACGGTTGCGGAGATGCCGAGTCACCCGGGCCTGAGCCCCGTCTGCTCGTTTGGGTGCATCCGTCAAGACACAGACCCTTGACTACGAACAGCCTCTGCTCATCTCCTATTTCGGGGCATGATTCGCATTTTCCCTTAGTTGGACTTGAGCTCCTTCCATGTTTGTGTTCACCACGGGTCTCGCAAGTGGTAGACTCGTAACAGGTTTTTATAGATACCAAATTAATTGAAAGGTTGTTGGGGGTGAGGAGAAGAATCGGGGGGCTTCCCAGGAAGAATGCATGGGGGGACACCCCTGTGGGCGGAACACCCCGCTCTTGCCCCATTTCCTTGAGCTCAGTATCTCCTAGACGTGCTTGGGTGTGATTGAGGTCATACCTTCGGCTATTTAAGCTATTCTGTAACGATAACAATAGTAGCTAATATTTGCTGGCGCTTTTCCTGTTGCACAGTTTTTCTTTAACACCTACAGTCTCTCATTACACCTTATCACATTTAATCCCTACAATACCCTTGGAAGCAAGGATGATTATTATCATTTTAACCATAAAAAAAAGTTTAAAGAGATAGTTTACTCTAGGTCACAAAAGTGGGGAGTGGACTTTAAAGCCAAATCTGGCTGCAAAGCTCGGTCTCATTACCACTGTAATCAATGCCTCAATGTCACCTGCTTATTTTAGTAAAAGCAAGGAATGATTACTAGATTTTAATCTGTGTGTCAGTGTTGAATCATATTTGTTCTCAAGTTTATCTAACAGATCTGGATACCCGATATTTGGTAGGCGATATGCTAGGCATTGGGATTGTAAAGGAAAGTAGGATTTGGGGTGAAGAGCATTGTGGAGGGGCAGAAAGGTTCAAGGTTGAATTGAAGACAGATTAGTATGAGTGTTAAGTACTTTGCACATTTTCTTCTTTCATATTGCAAAAATAAGAAATGGCTTAGATGGGGTAGTGTAGTGAGAGGCACTTAGAGGAGGCTCTCACTCCTCTCCTTTGTCTTCTTTCATCCAGAAACACTGTTTCATTTGTTATGCTTCTGGCCATGATTTTGTGAAGAGTTCGTTCTGCTGGTTAAAAGAAGAGAGGCAAAGGTTTGAAAACTACTGTGTTAGAACACAGAATGAAGAACCGTTTGAGATTTTAAGCAGGAGCCTGGTGTGTTTGCATTTTAGGAAGATGGCTGATTCAGTGTGCTAATATTGGATTTGCTAATTAACTACCTCATCAGTAGATGGGTTTCCCCCTACTTCATGTATATTTGGAATCAAGTCAAGAAATATTTGTCCGTCGTGAGGTTTTATTTAAAACTAGTAAAAAAACGCACAACATAAATTTACTGAACCATTCTTAAGTATACAAAAATGTTCACTATTATGTAATGGGTCTCCAGAACTTTTCCTCTTGCAAAATTGAAACTCTAGACTCATTAAATATCTCCCCATTTCTCCCTCTCCCTAGTCCCTGGCAACCAACATTCTATTTACTTTTTTGTCTGTGTGTTTGACTTCATAGGGCCCTCATATAAGTGGAATCATATAGTATTTGTCTTTTATGTGTTTGACTACATAGGGCCCTCATATAAGTGGAATCATATAGTAGTATTTGTCTTTTTGCGATTGGCTTATTTCACTTAGCATAATGTCCTGTAGCTTTCATCCGTGTTATAGCATGTGTCAGAATTTCTTTCTTTTTTATGGCTGAACAATATATGTATATACTACATTTTCCTTTCATCCGTCAGTGGACATTTAGATTGTTTCCACCTCTTGCCTATTGTGAATATTACTGCTGTGAACATGGGTGTACAAATATCTCAAGACCCAATTTCAGTTCTTTTGGAATACACCCTGTTGGGTGATTTTATATTCTGATGTTTTATATTTGAAACATCAAATAATTGCAATACTTTGAGAGGACCCTAGATTGCTTTGCTAACATGTTTTCTAAGCCTCATTGTAATGTGTAGTTTAAGAGCTGGAATCTTACCTTCTTGATGGCACCATGTCTTGGCTTTACTAATTAATGGGAGTCAGGAGTGCCATAGTGTAGCACAGCATGAGGGCTCATTGCAGGGGAACCAGACCTGACCCTGAGCAGAGCAGGGAAGGTTCCTGGAGAAAGGAAAGGATAGTCATGGAAGCCAGGTGAAGGGGTGCAAATATTGGGTGCCTGCTCTTCCAGTTGCCTAGAATGCTGTTCTGTGTTTTCACTTGGCTCCCTCTCCTGGCATTCAGGTCTCTGCAGAGAGCCCTTTGCCCACCCACTTAAAATAAGCATGCCCAGGAGCTCTGTGTCCCTTAACCTCTCTTGTCCTCAGAGCACTTGTCACCTGCTCACATGTAGGTATTTTCTTTTGCTTGTTTCCTTGTCTTGAAAGTCAGCTCTGCCAGGGCAGAATTTGTACCTGCTTTGTTAGTGAATAGATATCACTGGAGTATTGTTTCCCTACTGCTTAGCTCAGGTCCTGGCATTTGGTGAGTGCTCAATAAATAGCTGTTTTTTAATTCATGATAAGAGGAAAAGTGTACCAGGCAGAGGAACCAGCCCAGGGTGCGGGGTGGCAGGTGTAGGAGATTGTGGGGCCATCAGGAACCAGTCCCTGAGGTGTGTGCGAGGTCTGGCCGGGATTGCAGTGGAGGGTGGGGGTGGTGTGTGTGTGTAGGGGAGAGCTGAAAGAGGTTAAGAACAGGCTTGATGTGCTCGGTTATTTCGGTAAGATCTCACCATCTAAAAATGGTGGAAACTAGATCAGAGGGACAGACCATGCATGGCAGAAAGGGTAGAAACAGACTCGAGATTCATCATGCTACCAGGAAGCCAGGCCTACTGCTCTGGTTCATCAGTATTTTGGTGCATTTTGTTCTTTGAGGAAGTTTAGCAGCATTAACTACCCTGACCTGTTTTGGCTTTTGATGAGAAGAAATGTACCTTTGTTCTGTTCTAACTCTGGCATCTCTTTCTTTCTTCTAGTTCTCTTTCAACATGTTTGACCACCCGATTCCCCGGGTCTTCCAGAATCGCTTCTCCACGCAGTACCGCTGCTTCTCCGTGTCCATGCTCGCAGGGCCTAATGACAGGTCAGATGTGGAGAAAGGCGGGAAGAGTATGTGCTTGTTTTTATTTTGAATAGTAACCTTTCTGCCCTCAGCCTGCAGTGTTTATAGTCTCCTAACAGTCTATATTTTACATGTGTAACAGAAGCTACTTACAGTGAAACCATTGCTTGCCCCAGATTTGCTAAGGGGGAGAAGGGTCCAAATTGTGATTAGATTTATGGCTAGTAGCCATTCAGTTCCCCCAAATAAATTACAGCAAGTAAAGTTCTTTATGAAAGATTATTATTAAATTCTGACTACCCCACAAGTATTATTTAATACTTTTTAAATATATAACAGAAACTGCATTTTGGTTTTTGTTCTATCCTTTAAATTTTTATTTTTTTAATATTTCTTAAATGTTCTTTCCACAGTTATTATGCCACCCTCTGCCCTTGATCAACTTAGTAAGTATTTTCTACATGACTCGAGAACTGAGGTAATACATAAATGTGGATGCCAATCTGGTTGGGAATTGTTCCTGGAGGGTGCATGCTGGGCTGGGAGAGCTAGGGCCACAGGTGCCCCAGTGAAAAGGTAGCCCCTGGTGGCCAGCTGTCCAGGTTGGGGGCCAGTGAGTATTCAGCTCCAGGTCTCTCTTTTGTGAAGAGGATCTCCTCTGCATACACCACCCGCGCTCCCCCATCTCTGATCCCGTGAGGACTAAAGGAAGGTCCGAGCACCAGTGCTTATCACACTGCCAGGGCAGCTCATGCTGTTGGTCAGGTTCACTAGTTTTTCTCCTACAGAACAGTGGTTGGCTTCCAAGAGGGTGCTGTACAGCGGGGCGCTCATCTCCTCCCCTAGCCTCTTTCCTCAACCCCAGGCCCGCATTTTTGTCTGTTCTGCTCCAGTGTATCTGCAGCATGTCATAAACTTGAGTCCTCTGCCCCAGAAGCGGTTTCTCTCACTGGCTCCTGCCTCTTACCAGGAGTGAGAAAGGCTCATGGGTTGTGAGAGCGGCCACACTTTTCCTCTTTTCCTAACCCCTCATCCCATGAGAGCAACTGGAGACCTCATGCCTTGGCTTTCCTCTACCTGGACACTGAAAACCCTGACCACAGGTACAGTCATTGCCTTTTCAGTGATGTTCCTGAATTCATCCCATCTGGGACAGGCTACGTGGAGGCCACTAGCAGGAGGGTCCACACTTGGTGTTCAGTACATGTGGAACAGCACAGTGGAGAAGGGGTGCCAGCTTTGGTGTTGCTCTGGCTTGGTTCTAGGCTAGACTGGGCTTCTCCGAACTTCAGTTACCTCATCTTTAAACTGGGACACATAGCACCTGTCCATCAGAGCTGCTGTGTGGCAGGAGTACCTCCTCCTAGGTTGTGCCTTGTGTTTTATAAACAGCCCAAACTCATGTGACACCAGTCAGAAGGCATAAGGTGGCCTTTAGCCAGCAGGGCTTTACTGATGCTAACAGCAGCAGTGGCCACAACCAATGGAGGCCTTTAATTCTCGTCTCGGCTCAGCCACTTGGGGGATAGAGCTATGGGGTTCACTTCCCTCAGGCAGGTTCCTGTCATCACAGTGGAGGGGGTCAGGGCCCCCAGAGAGCCTGCCTTTCCATTTGAGCTGACCCCAGGAGCTAAGCAGTAAGAGTGACCCTTGACATAAGTGTCTAAGAAGAGAGTCAGAGATTGGGACAGTGGGGTTTAGACCAGTGTTGTTCAAACCTTTTAAGTGGGAGAAACTGTCCAAATGAAATCTTACAGGAGTCCTAATTTATAAAAGATTGCTGCTCGGGCTGGAGGAGGTGAGGGGGTGCAGAGGGCTTGGGAGCCCCAAAGCACTTCTCTAAATCACAAAGTGCAGTTTGAAAACCAACAGACTGGGGAACATGGATTTCTTCTAACCGTAAGAATCTCAGACCCCCGGCTGGAGCCTAATCCAATTCACTCTGACTGACTTCAATTCCTTTCCACAGCTCTATAGCTGGGAGGCTCCCTGGGGCTGGAAGGCTGGTGTTTGGGCCCTTGGCCACCTACTGCCAGCATTCAAGTCACCTTTATGATGCGAGAATACCTATGCCCACCACTGCCTCTGTGGTGAATATCCACTTCCAGAGGCTCTTCTCCCCTATTGGTGGTTTCTTGCCCAAGCTTATTACTCAATCTGCTTCATCAAAATGTTTAGAAAGATTCCGAATGGAGTCTGCCATACCTCCTGCTGCTGAAAGGAACTTCTGTTTGCCTAAACCAGTAGGCTAAAGTGGGCTTCGGTGGTTAAACCCCAGATCTGGGCCAGCAGCCTGGGTTGAATCCTAGCGTTGCCACTTATGTGCTTTGTGATTCTAGGCATGTTGCTGAACCTGTGTGCCTTAGTTTCCCACAGCTAAAAAGGTTAATGACAGTACTTTACTTCACTGTTTTGGGAAGACTGAGTGAGGGCCTGGTATGTGACAAACACCATTACTACATCAGTTTGTCCTCATCTGCTTCATGTCACTAGCCTCTCCTTTCTGTGCTCTCTGCACTCCTGGGTTAGCATGCCATCAGTCCTGGTTGCCTGTCTGGCCCCTCTATGTGGCCTTAACCTCAGAGGGGACGTACTGTGTCGTGACCCTGCTGAGAGCCCACACTGTTGACTGGTCTCACCCTGTGTAATTTCTGCCCCGGCTTCCCCTCCAGACTGCTCCCATACCCTGTCTCTGTGCCCCAGTCTCACCTAATTGCCAGCCATTCATGAACTGGCTAGTTTCCCCTTCCCTCCATGCCTTTGCTTAGGCTGCTTCCTCTGCCTGGAATTCTCTTCCTGGCCTCCCCACCATGACTTGCCTGGAGGAAGTCCTCCAGGAGCCCTGCCTCTTCCTGCTCTGCCCCTCCTACTGCATCACGGCATCTAGTTGCATGTGTTTTCTTTCTCACCTTTCGAACTAGAAATCTTTGAAGGTGAGGATTTTGTCCAGCACATGGTTGGCACTTAAATATTTGAAAATAAATGAGTAAACAAGCCACTTAAAAATAGGAATTTCAGAAAATCACAAGTGTATGTTGTGCTGTGTATGTGAATCACCAAACATTTCTGAGTTCTGGGCCAAGCGCGGTGCTCTCACAGGGAGTGTGGGGTTCTGGTGGGTAGGCAGACACTAAGGGACTAATCACCACAATGGGTCCGAGTGCCTGCTCTGAGGGGCAAGGCTTTGTGGAGTCATGGTGGGTGCTGAGGAGCACATTGGAGAACAGGGTTTCTCTCCCTGTTCTCATAGCCCTGCCTCATAGCCTCTCTCGATTTTAGGCCGACTCAACATTACCTACCCCATGCTGTTCAAACTGACCAACAAGAATTCAGACCGCATGACGCACTGTGGTGTGCTGGAATTTGTGGCTGATGAGGGTATCTGCTACCTCCCACACTGGGTGAGTGGGGCCATCCTGTTCCCTGGAGAGTCTGTGGGCCTGTCTTGGGGGAAGTCCTGCCCCCAAGTCAGAGTGAGGGAGGGCATTCGGAACAGTGCATCCTGTGCTGGGGGCAGCCTTTTCTTTGATGGTTGCTCAACTGGTAGCCTAGACACCACTGCCTTGCCATTTACCTGTGATCTCTTGGGTCAGGCTTTTTAAAGATAATGAAGCAGTATTTTTGAAATCCGAGTATAGAATTTCAGATTGTTATACATTTTACCCTCATTTTTCATAGTTTTTCCTCAATTCTTTTGTAATGGGTGTCTGTTTACACACTTGCCTGTAACTGAGTCTTTCCCTTTAAAGCACTCAACTTTGTTGCTATGGAAATGAAGCCTCTCTAGAGCACTTAGGCTTTCCACAGAGACACCCCCCACATGGTCCCTCTATGGAGATGAAAGAAAAGGTGGTGATACTGTACCTCTCACTCCAACTGCAGACTTAGAGTTTGAGTGGCCTCTTGTCCAGGTTCTCAGACTACTTTGGACCAGAAACTAATTGAATCCCTTTTGCTGAGAAGTGTCATCTCCCCTGGGACGCCTCTTTAGGTAGTATGGAGCTGCCGGCCCACCTCTTGGTCTTCCAGCTCTTGGCAAGAGTAGGTGATTGTCTTGGGTTCCCCAGCTGCTGCTGCTGAGTTGACTACCAGCGTGTCTGTGAGCACACACATTCTATTAGCTGATTGTCAGGCTCCATACCACCTGGAGCTCCCAGGCTTCTTCAGGGTAAGTCAGCCTAGAATAAGTTGTGGGCCTTTCAGGCCAGGGTCTCAAAGAAAAGGCCATCTGAATGTCAGACTTTGGCCTGCTCAGTGGGTCAGTGGCAGTCCTGCTGGCCACTTGATTTCTAAGATCCTCATGTAGCCTTCTTCTTCCTTTAGATGATGCAGAATTTGCTGTTGGAAGAAGGGGGACTCGTTCAGGTGGAGAGTGTCAACCTTCAAGTGGCCACGTACTCCAAATTTCAGCCTCAGAGCCCTGACTTCCTGGATATCACCAACCCCAAAGCAGTGTATCCTTTTGAAATGAGAAGGGTTCTTCCAGACAAAAGAGGGGTATGCTTGCAGGTAAACAGGGAGAGCTTTGTTTAACATGTGCCTACTTCAGGGAGCATACATTTGTTGTGATTGGAGTGGTGATTTGAGAACAGTGGTGTTCAGCCAGCAAATCTGCCCTGGCTCCTGGACCTGGGCCTGGACAAGTGCACTGGGTACTCTGAGGATTTCTTTTGGATATACTCTCTGGACACTTCTTCCTGGCCAAAGTGGAACCCTTCCTTCAGGTGGACTGTGACACCTAGCACAAAGCCCATTGTATTCTAGTAGAAGGGCCAGCCGGTCTGCGCTTCAGCCCCGACCCTTTGTGAGCCACTGGTGCCTATGAACTTGTCACTCACCTTTCCCTTTTACCCAGGCTTAAATACTTTTCACTCCAAACCAATGGGGAACATTGACTTAGTATGTTTTCTTTCTCTAAACAAGAGAGAAACAGAGGTTTTAGATTCCAGTGATTTTTTTTTTCTATGTTTGTCTCTGAACATAAGCTAGACATGTGTGTTTATAATTTAAAGAGTGACCAGTTTAGGTGAGGGGGTGTGCTGTGTGTGGACTATCAGAGATCTCTAGTTTGGAGGCCCCAGTTTAGCTCGTTGAGATTATGCTATGGAATGGTCACTCTTTCACCTATTTTAAAAAATGCTTGTTTGAAAAAGAGAGTGAAAGAAAAGCTGCCTCCATGTACCTCACCTGCACACTCTCTCCAGGAAGGAGCTCAGGAGCACGCTGCTGCTGGCCCTGTCCTGGATGTCGGTGAGCCATGTCGAGCCCCCCACTCACTGTGTGTGGATGAATGTGTTGAGTCCCCTGCAGCTGAGTCCTGGACATGCAGGGGTGTTGGGCTCTCTGCTCCTAGCAGTTCATGATGGAGGCTTCCTGTCCTGCAGGCAGGACAATGTCTTGTGGCAAGGTCTGTTTACCTTGTCCTTCAGAGCTCTGCTTGGAGGTGCATGTCTGGCTGTCAGTGCCCAGGAGTGGGGCCTACCTCTGACCTTAGTGCCTTCATGATTTTTCTTTGGACCTTTACACGTGTTATGATACAGACTTATTGGTTGCTTTCAGAGGATGTAACTATCTAGTTAACTTGTTAGTATACAGAGAAAGGATATTACTTTTCATCAGCTAAGAGTCAATCTGATGCTCCTTAGTCTGGCCGACAGTGTGGATTAAAGGCTGTCTTAGCATAGAGTGGAGAATGTGGGGGGCGCACAGAGCAGCGATGGGGTGCCATTTCTGCCCTCAGATCAAGTGGGTTGGGTCTGACAGCTCAGGGGTCTCTGGAGTATTCGAGGAGAGGGCAGCCCTGTAGCGTGCCATTTCACATGAGGAATGAAAACAGCATCCCACCTTTTCACAAAGCTGCTGTTATCCTGGAAGGCTGTGTGACCAAGAGAAGCGAACTTGGACAGCCTGGCTCTTTTCTCCCTCAGTTAGACTCTAAGATCTTCTCTGAGATGTGCCATGTCACAGTGTAGGATTCTGGAGCCACAATTTGTGTTTGTGCCTTGACAGCATGTGTCTGCAGATTAGAAAATGCACTGAGAAACTTTGCCTGTCTGACCACCGGGGATGTGATTGCCATCAACTACAATGAGAAGGTGAGTGTCTCGGCCATGGGGCCAGCAGGGCTTGGAGCCCAGCTCGGTGCAGGTCACACCTTACGAGGCAGTGCCATTCTGGTGTTTGAATGAGACTTCTTTTTAAGCAGTGTGTGCCTGGCTTTTGTCAACTAATTGCTGCCTACTGTTTGCTTTTTAGAGCCCTGTACCAATCATTTAGTAACTCTGTGTTTTGATAACTCATAACTTACAGGTAAACGAGTTTATTGTTGTATTTATAAATCACACGTCTGTGTACCATGCTGGTGAGCCTGCTGATTGTGTCTTAGTTAGAAAGGTCTGCATTGCACCTATAATCTTAGCTAAGCCCTTTGCTGGGCTATGGGGACACAGAAACGAACCAATCTGGGTCCTCGTCCTTGAGATTCCCTTCCTTGGAAGCAGATAGGCCCTTCTAGAGCTGGCCCTGCGGTGCACTTCCAGTGCTCTGGAGCACCTAGAAGCAGATCCTGGCTCCTAGTGATAATGCTGCCTGAGGTCACCTCTCCTTATGGGAACCCACATCATCTTCCTCCTGTTTTCTTTAATTTTGGTTTTTCCGTATTCCTTTTGGCTTGGTTGTCTTGACACATGTCTTTCAGGTCTGAACATGGAATCATTCATGATTCCATGCTTCTTAGGTGTCCGGGTGTAGACAATTTAACTATAAAGTGAAATACCATATCTTGTCCTTTATTTCTCATTCATTTCATGTATATTGACAAATGAGTTCCCACAAAATTCAAGACAGCATCCACTTCCTCATTATCATGGCAACATGTCTGAGGGAAGATGTAATAGTTGCCAATCCTTTTGATAGGCCATCCTAACACAGTCATGGAGCGCAGAGATGTGGGTGCCCCTCGTCCACTGTGATGGTAACTGTGATTGATCCTCACAGACCCTCACAGGGTTGACCACCTATTGCCCAGGAGTGACCATAGCCCTGGCTTGGCTTTTCCTGAGGCCAGCTCTTAGCTCCTTCACACACTCTTCCATCCCCTCAGGGGCCCCTCATAGCCATGAATAGGAGCCTGTGGTTCAGCCAATACCCTTCCTCCAGGATCAAGAGGACGGTGATTCCCTCAGTGTCAGTGTAAGGATCCAGTATGTTCTCCAGTAATTTCCTTTTTTTTTGAGGCATCCGATATTGAGAATTCTTACTTTTCCATATTTTGGAGTTTGAGTCATATTTTTCTATAAAACTAAGAAATCATCTTGTTGCCTTTAGATTTGTAGAGAACATTTTAGGTATTGTTTACCTTAACTGAATACTTTAAGCTTTCATAATTAACTATAGGTAGGCAGAATGTTTTTGTTCTTAATATTAAGGTAGTGATGCTAAATATAACTCAAATTGATATTTTTGCACAGAAAGGGAAGGTGAGTTACATACAGTACATAGAATTGAAACACATGTTTGGACTTCTCTTATTTTAAGTATGGAAAGACTAGATACTCTACAGGGCCCTTCTGATAAAATCCAATTAAATCAAGATACAACCTAGATTATTAATGCATGGGTGGGCTCACAGGAAATATAGAAAATTTTTCAAGACTTTCTTAGCAGGGTTGTTTTGAGGGCAAATGGCCGTATCAGTGCTATAGAGATCTAAATCGAAGACTTTGACATTAAACTGGAACTCTTAAAGAGGCCAGAATATACCCTGTTGCCCTCATCTCAGGAGAAAGAACCCAAATTCTATCTGGGAAAAGTACCCCCAGTTTAGTTAAGCCTTTGGGATTGTATAGATTGAACAAGCAAACAAGAACTCATAATACAACCACCAGACATGCAAAGCAGAGAGAACAAAATCAAATTTAGACCCTTTAGGAACTCCATATTGGGACTTTCATGTACAAATATAAAATAAGTAAGTATAAAATGTTCAAAGAAGTTGTAAAATGGAACCATAAAATTTAGCAAGCAACAAAAGACTATAAAAATAAAAGCCAGGGAAGTTTGAAAAACAGAATTGAACAACCTCTAACAAAAAATTAATGAAATGAAAGCTAAATCTGGAGAAATGACTTAGAATTCTGCACTTAAACAAGGTGATGGAACATATTAGAGATTGAGGTATTGGAGATACTAAGAAAGTCAGATGTGCTCCATGAAAATTCCAGCAGGAGAGAATGGAGGAGGGGCGATAATGTGAAGAGATAATAGGTGAAATTGTTTTACAAATGGCCATCAACCCATAGTTACAGGGAATATTTAACGTGTCTCAAATAGGGTAGATTACAGATACCAAATACCAGGTATAAATAGGTGAGCAGAGAGAAAATACAACACTTTCAGAAGAATAGCTAATTGAAGGCCTTTGAATAGCAACTATTATAGCCCAAAATAGCAGAATGTCTTTAGAGGATGATAAAAAGTAACTGTCATCAAACCTTTGAATAATGAGGACAAAATAAAAATATTTTCAAATAAACAAAATCTGAGAGTTTATTTGCTAGTAGAACTTTAAAAGCATGTACTTTAGGAGTAAAACATTATCCTAGAAGGAAAGATTAGAGTACCAGAAGGAATGGAAAACAAGTAAACAGGCAAATATGAAGTAAATTATGATAAATATTTCCATATAAAGCAGTTTTATTTAATATATGAGGCTTAAAAGATGTCATCTGAAATACTGGAAAAGAATAATTCTAGAGAGTTATTTAGAATTAAAGTATTCTCTGTAATTCAGTAAAGTTAAGTCAATAAAAATAACTGAAAACTCTGCATTCATGTTTCAAAACAGTTTAAAATTACTGTTTTAGATATAGCATTACAATACATAAAGCTAAAAATAAGTCACAAAAGTGTTTATCCTAACTACATGCAACATATTCTAGTATTTCTGTTGTGCTGTCTTTCGGTGTTTTTCTTTTCTAGTTCTGGTTGCAGCACACTGGTTTTATGACACACTAATTAGCTGTGACCTGCAGTTTGAAAACACTACTGTAGAGGAATGTGAACACATGCCCCCAGAGACACATAGCTGAATGTTCATGGCAGCGTTGTTAGTGATAGTAAAACCATTAGAGACAGCTCAGATGTTGATTGGAGAAATTATGGCACATCCACACAGTGACATATATATTCATTTTTATTTATCTTCTATTAGATAATGGAGAAACTTTAAAATATAGACGGCACATTGAGCCTTCTCACTTTACTTTGGTGACCTTCCTCCTAATGTTTAAGTTTTTTAAATGGTGGGACTATCTGGACTGTTCATGATAAAAACAAGACATATTCTAGGTAAAAAGAAAGAATCCAAAGTGATGTTGTAAAAAGTAGATTGACTCACTTTTAGTTCCTATCCTATGGGCATTGTTAATACATGTTTTTACATACATGAGGTCATCCTAGACATACAGCAACATAACTGGTTTTTTAACTTCTTTTTCTATTGCCTACATCGTATTCCACAGTGACTATAATTTATATGTGAATAGACAAAGAATCCAAAGTGATGTCGTAAAAGGTAGACTGAGTCACTTTTAGTTCCTATCCTCTGGGCATTGTTAATATATGTTTTTACATACATGAGGTCATCCTAGACATATAGTAACAAAACTGGTTTTTTAACTTTTTCTATTGCCTACACTGTATTCCACAGTGACTATAATTTATATGTGAATAGATATTCATTTAACTAATTTATTGAAAGGCATTTGGGGTATATACTATTATTAGCAATGCTGGAGTGAGTATACTTAGAATAAACTCCTAGAAGTATAGTTTCTGGGGTAAAGGCTATGTGCGTCTTTTGCAGTTTGATCCACAACTGCCTTGTCTGATTTGAACCACTTTTGGGGAACAGCCTCTGTTGAGAGATAGGCAGGTGTCAAGGCAGTTCATCCCCATAGCCTCATTGTCAGCAAGACGTTTGGCTGTGGAGGGTGTCATGGAGGTGAATGATGTGTCTGCAGGAGCAGGGTAGGGAGCTGTAGTAACATAACAGTGATAGCCTGCAGTGGTGCTATAAAACCATCCAACTGATCTGTGTTCTTCCCACAGATCTATGAACTGCGGGTGATGGAAACCAAGCCCGACAAGGCTGTGTCCATCATCGAGTGCGACATGAACGTGAGTGACTTTGCTGCTTACAGTACATTTGGGCCTGGGGAAGATAGCCATTTGGTAGCCCCTGTAGGCCATTGCCTCAGGAGGATGTCACTTCACACAGCCCCTGGGACTGTGTGAGGGAGCGAGGAGGAAAATGCTGCCAGAACATCATGAGGAGGCCACTGACCTTGTGATCCATCTCTGGGCCAGTGGGGGTGGCAGAGTTGCTGCCAGTTCTGAGATGGTTAAATCCATCAGCATCTCAGACCTGCCAAGGAGAGAAACTTCTTAAAAGCTAAGAAGCCTCAATTAAAAAAAAAGAAAAAAGCTAAGGAAGTTTTTTCAACTCCTGGGTAGGAGGGAACTATTGGGATACACATAGCCTGGTGGCTTTCCAGGGATGATGCTGACGAAAAGGGCCAACTCCCAAAGGTTAAACACCATCGGGTTCCACTTTTATAACATTCTTGAAATGACAAAACTTTAGAAGGGGACAGAATAGTGGTTGCCAGGGGCTGTGGGTGGTGGAGCAAGTCACTGGCAGAGAGGTGAGTGTGGATATAGAAGGACAATGTGAGGAATCTTGTGTTGGAGCCGTTTGGTATCTCGATTGGGCATGGATGCACAGACCTACACTGGTGATAGAGTTTTGAGAACTTAAACACACACAAATGAGTTTGTGTAAACTGAGGAATTCTGAACAGTAAAAATGTCAATGTCTTGATGGTGATACTATACAATAATTTCGTTAAATGTTACCATTGGGAAAACTGGGCAAAGTGTACAGGGCATCTTTCTGTGTTACTTCTTACAGCTGGATAGGACTCTATGGTCATCTCAAAAACAAAAGCTAAGGAAGCCTAAGTACTGCTGTGTCTCACAATTTTACTTTTTATGTTGGGAACACAGGTGGACTTTGATGCTCCACTGGGCTACAAAGAACCTGAAAGACAAGTCCAGCATGAGGAGTCAACCGTAAGTTGTTTCCCCAGCGTCCCTCATCTGATCCACCAGATGCCCTCTGTGGTAACAGTCTTTGGAAGTGTGTCCTGGGTCTGTCCTGACAACTTGCCCGTGTTTGGCCTCTCTGCTGATACTGATGCAGCTACATTCCCTGCTTTTCTTCTAGCCCTGCTCCTGGTAGTCGGTGTGTCCCAGCCATTTGGGTGCAGGGATAGCCATAGAAATGAGGGGCCCAAGGTAAAAGTTGCGGTGTCCCTGCTGAAAAGCTCATCTCCTGTTTTTTTGTTCCTGTCAGGAAGGTGAAACTGACCACAGTGGCTACGCTGGAGAGCTGGGCTTCCGTGTGAGTACCAGGCCATGTGTTTTACTTCTGTGCTCCTGCCATGCCATCTGCTCCTTCCAGCCACTCTGTAACACTCCATGGACCTCAGCATTGGGCCTCTGAGAATCTGTGCACACACTTATCTGCCACTTTGTTAGTTCCAGAGCACTTAATATCCACCTTTTCCTTGAATCCTAACAACTCTGTAAGACAGCCACAACTTTTTTTTTCTTTTTAAAATTCTAATCTACCAAAAAGTTAAAATAGTACAATGGACACACAAATACTCTTCACAAGTCACCAAATGTGATCACGTTTGCTTTATCTCTGAGAACATGTCCCTCCTTTTTTTTGGCCTGCACTGTTTGAAGGTAAGTTGCAACATGACCCTTCAGCACTGCTGCCAGCCAGGCTTCCTGGTAAAAAGGTGTAGATGACTAGTATGAGGGCACTGGGATGCTGGGCAACAGTGAAGGTGGCAGGACTGGAAAGCTAAGCTGTGGGGCAGTAGTGACAGAGGCCTTAGCCCACACACAGGGCCCCAAACTGGGTGGCCCCGCATAGGCCAGGGGTAGACCTTTCAACCTGTCATTAGCTACTACTGGCTGCCCTTGGGCTAGGAGGCTCCCTTCAGCTCACAGCAGCCCTGAAGGGCTGGGCGGAAAGATCTTGGCTGCCTACACTTCAGCAGCTGGGAGGACTGGGTCACACTCCCCAGCACATATCTGTGCAGCAGTTAGCAAAGGGCATGCATGTGCTCACTTTGGCTCTTGAGACTCAGTGCACATACACTCTCTTTTTTGCCTATCTAGGCCTTCTCCGGCTCTGGGAATAGACTGGATGGGAAGAAGAAAGGTGTAGAGCCAAGTCCCTCCCCAATCAAGCCTGGAGACATTAAAAGGTGGGTCTGAAGTGGCTCTCCTCCAGCCTGATGCTTTATCATTGTCCAAAGAGGGTCTGTGGTGGGTAGGCAGGCTCACTCCAGCTCTGGAGGCAACACCTGGATCAAGGAAGCTTGTGAGATGGATGAATACTCCCACTGCCTGCTCTCCTTGGGGGACTGGAGTGCGATGAGGGGGTCGATGTTTCCCAGCAGAAATGTTTTTAGTGTCTTCCACACATCCAGGACTACTGCAGTCTAGCTTCTACGTGACCCTGAGTAGCACCTGATCAGAGCTAGCTTCTATTTAAAATCTTTCTAGTTACTATCTAGTAATCTATTTTCCTGTTTTGTGACTTCATCAAGTCACAGTGTCTCAACTTCCCTCAAACAGGATGCAGGAGCTGATCACTGTTTGGTCCAGGAACTCAGAGCAAATTCACTGCTGTGGTGGCTGTCACAGTGGTGGCAGAGATAAGATATGCCACCTGTCTAAGTGTTAGAGTGGAAGAAGAATGCTGAAAATGGGGCATCTACCCACTCTGAAGGGGTGAAATAGATTTAGTGCAAGTGTAGCCCTTCCAGGGTAATCTGTGAGGCTGGACAATAGAGATGGTGAGGGCCTCCCAAGCCTCCAAGTGACCCTTCATCGCAGGCCAGGCCTCGAGTCTGCAGGCCCCTGTCCTAGTTGCCTGGTTCCCTCCTGGAGGGATGCTGGGGAGCACCAAAGGGCTGGCCCAAGGCCAGGGTGGGCTGTAGCTGCATACCTCAGAATGAGAGTCACCAAGTAGATACTTATCATCTCTTTGGCTTGCCTTTCTCTTGATTGTCAAAAGTGAATTTTAGTCATTTTCTCCTGGAACCAGCATTTCTCCTCTTCTGTCTTTACAGAGGAATTCCCAATTATGAATTTAAACTTGGTAAGATCACTTTCATCAGAAATTCACGTCCACTGGTCAAAAAGGTTGAAGAGGTAGGTATATTTCATGTATAATTAGAAATTTTATTTTCTCGTGTGACTGAGGGAATTCTTTCTATTCTGAATCAGGGTGTTTCTGTCATATTTTTCTGCATTCCTGGGGTCCTCCTCCCCCTAGTGGCCTGATTGTCTTATTGAAGCTCTGTGCAGGCTGTTGAAGGGGTATGTGCAGGCTGCAGCTCTGGCATCATGTGGTGGTGATCAGCACAATACCAGCTCACAGAGCCCTTACCAGGTGTCAGGCCCCGTGCTGAGTGCTTTATACTTAATTATTTAATTCCCAGGACAGTCCCGTAAGGTGGCTGCTGTGAGCATGAAGGTCTGTGAAGGTCAGAGTACCAAGGGCCCATGGGCAGAGCCCCTGACAGCTGCATGGCCACCTCAGTGCCACCACACTCCAGAAATGGCATCCACTGAGACCTAAGGAGAGCGGCTTCCCTTGGCCCTGGAGTTCTCATGTGACAGGAAGGGAAGGGAAGGGTAGGAGGTGTTGACAAAGAGGTTCTACCTCCTGGGCACTTCTAGGTGCTAGAAACTGGTTCTGAAAACCCAGCACGCCCTGCTGCAGATTGCTCATCCCAGCCAGCAGCTGTGGCTGTGTGTGCTGTATATTTCTAGAACACCAACACTGTAGACCCACCACTTTCTTAGTTCCTTTTTTCACAGATTCGGTCTCTTGGGGATTTAGGGGTAGCAGAGGACAGATATGCCCTGAGCCCGTCTAGGTGCTAGAAACTGGTTCTGAAAACTCAGCATGCCCTGCTGCAGATTGCTCATCCCAGCCAGCAGCTGTGGCTGTGTGTGCTGTATATTTCTAGAACACCAACACTGTAGACCCACCACTTTCTTAGTTCCTTTTTTCACAGATTCGGTCTCTTGGGGATTTAGGGGTAGCAGAGGACAGATATGCCCTGAGCCCGTTCTGGGTGGGCTGCCAGATGGGACCAGTTACTGGCCAGTTTCTGGCTGTGGGGCCTTCACAGGCCTCTTCTGACAACTGAACGCCTCCTCTGTAGCTTTTAGGTGGTTAGGAATAGATACCATTATGCTGTCTGCACACCTCGGCCTCACAGCTCCTCTTAGCCTTAATGTTCTAAACACAGTGTTGGGGACCTTCTAGGCTCTGAGGAACAAATGTGGTCCTTAATCAGACCTCACTCTTTGAGTCCGCCCTGAGGTCCCCTTTCCAGGCCCTTGCCAGCTGCAGGCTGGTCTTGCTGACCCAGGCCTAGAGGCCCCAGCAGGGGCTCCCCCTGGGCTGACTTATGACCCTACTGTTGGAGATATAGGAAAGGGAAGGTGAGGCTGGCAGGCACAGCTGGAGCTGTTTTATCCATGAATATTTAAGAAGAAATGTATGACTGAAGATGGGATTGAAGGCACATACTTAGCTCTACTTTACCCTGAAACCCCACGAAAGCTGAAGTACAAGGTGATAAGGTAATAAAGATGGTGAAGAGGAAAGGCGGCAACTGCAACAAAACTTCGGCAGCCCCGGAGCAGGAGGAGAAGTGGTAACTAACCTAATAGACCAGGAAAAGCTGCATCCTGACTGAGCCATGAGGAAGCCCAGAGGCAGCTTAGTTTAGGTGGTTGAACTCTCAAAGGGCACCTCTGGAAATGGACTAAAGAGAGTATGTGTCACAAAGCAGTTAGAACTGCAGCACCACCTTCCCCTCACCCCACTGGGGCTGTGCCTCCCTCACCCCAGGAAAAGGCATCATGGACGGTTCTGCGTTTGGGGTCATCAGCACAGTGGATAGCAAGACCAAACTGCAAGATGGAACGAGTGACAGTTGGCATCCTGAATGTCAACACCCTGGTGTCCTTCCCCTGCTTGGCTCTTAGACACTGGCAGCTAAACTTGCTTGTTGCAATTGGAGGAACTTTCTCTGGATGTTCTGATGAGCCCAGGGAAGGTCCCAGCCAGCTTACCCCAGAGTGAAGATCATGGTCAGAAAGTTTCCAGTGCCAGCATCCAAATTATCAGAGTTCTGAAAAGAGCTTAGAGAAACCAGAGAGGCAGCAACTATCAGGGAAATGATTGCTCCAAATCAAACACGAATTTGCAGGTTGGAAGGCCCACTGAGCGTCCAGCATAGTGAACGAAAATAGCCCCACATTGAGGCAAAGAAAATATCCTAAAGCCTCTAGAAGGAGGAAAGAGGTTCTACCACAGATCAAGAATGGCACAGGAAGCTAAGAGATAGTGGAGCCAGGTCTTCAAAATTCTGAGAGGAAACTCTTTAAAAAATTCTATACCCAACTCTTAAGGGATGAACTGTGCCCTCATCTCCTCTCTCCCTGCCCTCCAATTCCTGTGTTGAAGCCCTAACTTCCGGTACCTCAGAATGTGACTGTATTTGGAGATAAGGCCTTTACAGAGGTGACTTAAGTGAAAGTGAGGCCATTAGGGTGGGTCTCTGATCCATTCTGACTTGTTCCCTGGTAAAAGAAGAGGAAGTTGGATATGCAGAGGAAAGACCATGTGAGGACATAGCAAGAAGACAGCCATCTACAAGCCAAGGAAAAAGGCTTCAAGAGAAATTAAACCTGTCAACACCTTGGTCTAAGATGTAAAGCCTCCAGAACAGTGAGAAAACATACCTTGTTTAAGCCACCAGTCTGTGGTACTTTGTTATGGCAGCCCGAGAGCAACTTAAGACCAACCACCCTGTCAGTGAAACATGAGAGTAGAAACAAGGTACTTTTGGATATGTGAGATGTCATAAAAACATAGTCCTCATACTCCTTTTCTCAGGAAGCTACTGGAGGATGTACCCCACTAAAATGAAAGAATAAGGTAGAAATAAAGCCTTAGATCCAGGAAACAGGTGTTCCCATGGCCATGTGCAGCACCAAGAGAATGGCCAGTCCAGGAAGGGCAGCTTGAAAGCCCCAGGAGACACCTTCCTCAAGCAGACATAGTTGGCAGTGTGATTTATGTGGAGTACCTGCTGTGATTAAATATATGTGGAAGAGAGAAGGCGGACACAGACAGCGGACAAACAAGGCTCTGCAGGAAAGGAAGACTGGATGGCTCAGCTGAGACTCACATTTACATGGTCACCACCACGTAAAACCTGTACAGGCTCCACCAGAGGTATAGCAGCTATATCAGGTGAGGGCCGAGTATAGGAGTGTGTGTATGGGAGCTCAGAATCCTCTTGTATAGATAACACCTTGGACTGACTTAGCAACATAAGCACATGAAAGATACCTGCTGTTTTTGAGGGTTCAGAAAAAATAATCATCTTTCTCCTGGTGAGAGAATAGTTCTTGGAATGTTTCTGAGAGCTGGTGAGTCACCATATATTAAAAGCCTTAAAAATATGTGCATCCTTTTACTGATGAATTCAACTTCTAGGAAAAATCAGAGCCGTGTACAAACACAGTAAGTTGATCACCATAGCAATTTAAAATACTGCAAACCTGGAAGTAACATCTGATGGTAGAAGACTACCTCTCCCATGTAATGGAATTCTATGTAGCCTTTAGAATGTACTAGATGAGAAATTCATTGACTTGAGACTTGGGAATTAAGTATGAAAATAGTTTATATGAGCATATACAAAAAGTGATTGGAAATGTTATTTTGGGGTGGTGGAGTTATAGGTGATTTTTTTGAGAGGGTGTTTTTATACTTTTTATATTGAAAATGTGATACTTCTCCAAAAGGATATACATTCAACCTGAGGATAAAGGCTATGGTGGTTGCATGGTTGTGATTGGTTGTTTTCAATTAATTATGATTTGTATTTATATTTCAAACACATTTCTTATTATGAATAATGTAGAAGTAAGGAAATGGATGTATAGTACATAAATTAACAGAATAAAGCCTTTTTTATAAACCTCCAAGAAGTTTCTGAAAATAGTATTTTATCTTCACACCTAGGATGAAGCTGGAGGCAGATTCATCGCTTTCTCTGGAGAAGGACAGTCATTGCGTAAAAAGGGAAGAAAGCCATAAGTTGGAACTTTTGGCTGATTGAAAAATAAAATGATCAATTGCAACACATGGCTTTTAGTTACTGGCCTTGATGGGGGTGAGACTACTGCAGATGCTCTGTCATTTTAGGTTTGTATAGAGTTAGTTACCTAAGAATTACTAAGTTTGACTTGGAAGTGGAACAGCAGGACTTTATGGTTGTGTACTTGATTTGGGTAAAGAGAAAGCTGTCACTGAGGTCCTTTAGGCAGCCCTTTTGCCATTTCTGGCTTTCAGTCCTTGGGGACACTCCCACTCCCTTAGCGGAAGCAAATTGCCTCAGTTCCTGATAAAAACCAATGGGGGGGCGGACTGAATTGTTCTAACTTGTGTTCTTCCTTTTTTCAATTTTCTTTTCTTTTCGTGGGTCTATAGCTTAGATATTGCCTTTGGCCTAGAAAAAGTTGTTTAAATAGATATGTGCTCTATAAATAGTGGTTATTCTGTTACTCTGGAAGCAATTTAAGTATTTGAAGATGGGTGTTTCTATTTTTGCATATTGATTTTTTTCAAGAGAACCATTCCTCAGAAGGAAAACCTGATCTGAATGCATTTCCACTTTTATTTTGATTTCATTTGGAAATAACTGGCTCCTTAATCTTTTCTTTGGTAAAATAACTTAATGGTGAAGCACAAATGTGAATATTAGAATAAGTAAAAGCTAAAGATTCAGTTCTCTTTTTCCTTCCCTTCCCCCCACTCCCAGTTTAATGTATTAAATAATCCAAGGTCTGCTGGCCTGTCTTTATTTTTTATTGGTTTCAGGTCTTCACTTTCTATAAAGTGAGATCTTTTGATATGTTAATCCAATTTTAATCTTTTCTTCCTTGAAAATAATTCTAAATCAAGAATTTCAAATAAAAACAGGGACTGACTAAAACCTGGATTGCTTCTAAATGTTTGATTAGATGCCAACATGGATTGATGGTTGGGCCACTGACCAGGAATTGGAGGAAGGCCTGTTTGCCCCTCATCCCATCCTGCTATTACAAAAAAGCTCCTCTCGGGGAGCTTCTGGAGAATGTAGAGAGAAATGAGGCTTTCTAATCCCTTGGGTGGGGATGGTCAGGCTCAGCAGGGTCTTCCCTGTATCAGGTCTCCTGCTTGTATGCAGAGGGGTGCTTCTCTGGACAGGGTTCCTCCCAACATTCCGAAAAGGAGAGGATGCACCCCTCGAGATAAATAGCCCCAGCATCCACCCATGTGTCCTCAGAGAATGATCATTGAAGATTGTTATGATGACTGGGGCTGGGCCCTGTGATCCAAAATAATAATACTGCCAGTATGGTTTCAGAAGACATGAACACTGTTGTGACCTATCTGACCCTCCACTTAAGAAGCTTTGGTTTCACGAGTAGAGGTGGAAGCCCTTGGTGGGTAGGCAGTCTCCACTGGCAGAATCACATTGGCTGACACTCATTTTATTCATAATGAAGAATGTTACAGTAAGAAGCTGGCCCTGAGTTTTTGTCTTTCCTAAGCAACACCTACTGTATATGAAAGGAAACCACTCCTGGTCCTTTGCTGGAGGCACACTCCTCTGCTTACGCAAGAGGTGGACTCTGTTGGTGGGTCTTCTGGTGACACAGTTGGGTCACCTGGAACAAAAGTCCTGGTCCTTACTGCAGTAGCCTGGCCTGCAAACCTCCTGCTTGCTACACAGTGTCTTCTCCAACCTTGGTCAGCCAACTTGGCAGAACCCCTAATAAAATTGCAGCTTTCTGGTCCACCTACAGGGAGTCTGACCCAGTCTCATTCATACAGAAGGCCCAGCAACCCCTTGTAAGGGGGCTCCCCAGCATATGATTAGGTTAGCAGAATTGGAGACCATTGCATTGGTATTGCAGGGCTCTCTGCCTCAAAACGTCCACTTCTAATCAGACATATGAGCTGCCCACGGACGTGTAACCCGTTCCACTCATAGCCTCCACTCCTTTGACCAGTCTGCTACTGTGCTCAAAACGCCCTTTTAGCCTCCACTTCCAGCCTGGGTTCCCTCAGGAGGTCATCCCGCGTCCTAGACACCCCACCCCCAACACGTAACGCCCAGCCAACCCCAGGTATTTTGTAAGTTCACCTCCGCCCCCGAGTGTGCACTGTAGCAGAACTGGCAGCTTCGCTGCACAGTTGCTCAATATGTGCTTAAAATGAACCCAATCTTTGAGATTTATGAAAATGACAGCTATTGGAAAGAATTGGCCGTTTCAGAAACGGCCAACTTAATGTGGCCGTGCAGCCCGGAACGCCCGCCGCACACCGTGGGGTCACGCTTGCTGTCAGCACTGTAGCGGAGATGGCTCTGCGCAGAGTTTTCCTACCTTTCCCACACGCCCTCAGCCTTCCTGGACTCCGCCCCTTCGCGCGAGCCCCGCCCCCGGCTGTTATTGGCTGCCCCACCCGGACGTCCTGTTTATTGGTGCGTCCCAAGGAGGTGGGCGAGTATTTAAGTCGTCAGATCGCGGAATGACGATTTCTTTGCGCGGTTTTCATTGGCTAGTAGGCTGAGGCGGTGTTCGACACTCTCCCGGACATGGCTGACGGCAGTGGCTGGAGGGTAAGTGTGTTGAGAGCCAGGGACCTGCGGGGGCCTCGTCGGACTGGATGACTGGCTTAACTGAGCCCATTTCCGGGGAGGGGGTGGATGGGGTTCCGGGGCGGGCAGCGCAGCGGCCTCCGGCTTAGGTGCGCCTTTCGCCGCAGCCGCCGCGCCCCTGCGAGGCCTACCGCGCGGAGTGGAAGCTCTGCCGCAGTGCTGGACACTTTCTGCACCACTACTACGTCCACGGTGAGCGGCCGGCCTGCGAGCAGTGGCGGCGCGACCTGGACAGCTGCCGTGCGTGGGAAGAGCACCAGAGCGCCGAGGCCCAGGTGCGCTGGGGAGGCCGGGGGTGGCGCTCTGCCTGCCGGGGTGCATTGCTGGGGCGTCCGAGTGCACAGGCCTCCCCTCCTCACATTCCAGGCCCCGGGACTCCAGAGTTGCACTTCCGGCGTCCTACCTCTTTTTGTGCTTCCTTTCTTTCGAGAAATACCTAAAGTTATTATATTAATAGGGCTTTCAGACACTGAAAGACAAAGCAAGGAGGGGAGTAGAGTGGTTTGGAAAGAGGAGGGGCCCCCTAACAGTGTTAAGGTCGTCAGCCGACCTACACAGGTGATATTGCTGAAGTCCCGAAAAACTAGGAACCAGCCTTAGCAGATTTCACCCAGCCTCGGGGTTACGACTGAAGAACGAGGGCCAGGTGCTGGAGCAGAAGGGTGGGCAATAAAGGGGTAAGGTATGAGGCTGGAGAGGTGCAGGGACCTGGTGGGCCTTTAAAAAGGGTTTAGGTTCTAGCCTAGACGTGTGCTGGGAAGCAAGATTTAATTCTGCCTTTAAAAGGTCTATCTGGCTGCCAGGATGAGAGAATACATTATGGAGGGACCCAGAGACCAGTAGGGAGGTGGTTCTGGTTGTCGATGTATTCAGCAGATATTTATCATGTTGGGCACTCTTGGGGATACAGGAATGATGAGAACAGAGCCCCTGTTCTAGCATCTACATTCTAGAGTATGGTGGTGCCTTTAAGCTGTTGTGGGTGGTGAGTTTGAGAGAAGCTGTGAGGGTGCTGTGCTCATAGGGAGTGCCTGGGGAAGAGGAGCCTGCAGGGCTGGCGGCTGCTTCAACGTTGTTATTATTCAAACAGACAAAATGATGTGGAAACCAAGCTTCTGTATAAAAGAAAATGATGACAAGTCCATAATAAGTGGAATTCCAAAAAAAAAAAAAAAAGGGCTTGTAGCCTATATGGCAAGAGATTAATAACCTTAATGTATGTATGAGCTTATATACATCAATAAGAAAAATGGGGATGATTTCAGAATAGAAAAGTTGACAAAGGACTTGAAGGTATTCAAAAATAAAACCAAATGCCAATAAGTGGTTTCTGCCTACTGGAATGTCAGGAGTGTCGATAGGGGTTTGGAGAGTCAGATGTCCTTGTGAAGTGTTGGTGGAGTGTCAGGTATTCTTTTTGTCTAAACATCAGATGCATCCCTTTTGACCCCACAGTTTTACTTCTGGAAGTTTATCCTAGGTAAGTAATTGAGTAACAGAGCACAGTTAAAAGTTCAAAATGTCCATTTTTTGTGTCCCTGTTGTTATAGTGCAAAAATTGAAAGTGTTCTAAATTCCACTGGTAGACATTTGACCAAATAACTCAGTCCACACAGTGGAGTACTACACTAAAAACAATAGATAGTAATGTATTTTAGGATGGAAGGGTACCTACAGTATATTGCTCAATGATAAAAGCAGGAAGTATACACTAACCAGTAGATTATTCTATCTTTAGGGAAATGTGATAGCTCTAAAATTTGGCCCTAAAATTGTGTTGGAAAGTTATTAACTGCCTCAGGGAGAGGTCTAGGAGTCTCATTTTCTACTTTGCATTTCTGATCACTTTTTAAATAAGAACAAAAACATCTGAGGCAATAGAGCTTAAGTGAAGACAAATAGACAGATAAGGTGAAATTAATATGTCTAAAGTGGCCAGTGTAGTGTCTGGCATTTATTAAGCACCCGCCATGGTTGTGATATACTGCCCTGTGTTTATTTTGGGGGGAGAGTGGCAGAAGCCTGCGGGTTGAGTGGCACCTGTTGTCTGGACTCCTCACCTGTCCAGGGCTCCCTGAGCATGTGTCTCTTGCCTTATTTTCCTCCCTCTGGCCACTTTTTCAGACTCTTGTCTCTCCTTCCAACTCAGCCTGCAGCTGGTCTCAGCAGGTAACCTGCTTAGGTCAACCAAAGGTATCAAGCTCTGAGGCCCAAGAGTTACTGGGACAAATCCACAATAAGTGGGCCCATTTTTCAAATTTTCTCAAATTATGGTGATTTACACAATAGAGTTGACCCTTGAACAACGTAGATTTGAATTGCATGGGCCCACTTATTGCAGATTTTTAAGTGTAGCTGAGCAGTTCAAACCTGTGTTGTTCAAAGGTCAACTGTATTTTCAATCTGCAGTTGGGAATCTGTGTATGCAGAGGGCCGGCTCAAGTTATTTGCAGATTTTCAACTGCACAACTAGTTGGCGTCCCTAACCCCCATGTTCAAGGGTCAATTGTCGTTTTTACCAGTAGCTTGGGAGAAAGAATGATCTAGATCTGTGTGTACTAATATGGAACAATCGCCAAGGTGTATTAGGTGGAAGCAGAGTTTTGGAGTGGTATGTACCATACACTGTATTTGGGAGGATGCTGACAGGAAGAGAGGTACAAGAGCCATGTGAGGTGGGAAGTGACCAGGGTCTCCTTTACACAGCGGTCCCTCTGTGAGAGCGAGCGTGCGAGAGTCCGGGCTGCACGGAAGCACTCCCTGGTGTGGACTCTGAGGCAGAGCCCCCCTGCAGACTGGCATCTCCCTCTGCCACAGGAGGAGAAAGACGAGTGACAAGTGCCCCCGCATGGCTTCCTCTGGTCTGTTTCAAGTGGGGCTGTTGCACGACGCTAAGGACTGTGACTGGCCCACACATTCTACTGGGTACCTAGGAGCTTCTGCCTGGCTTGGAACATGGGGCCCAACATATCCACCTCTACTTGCACACCCCTCACCTGCATTCAGGGTGCCCCACTGCTTCTATGCTCCGGAAGACAATTTCACCCACTGCACAGCTTCCAGGAAGCCAAGCATCATTGTAAATTGCTATGAGCAGCAAGGTCGGGCTGACTCATGCTCTTCACTGGGGACAACAGCACAGGAAATGGCTGTCCTGAGGTCTGGAATTCCCAGGTAAATTCTCGAGTGGTAACCTTGACTGGTGTGGACATGTAGAGGGGTCAGAATGAAGTAGCTAAGTGGTGTGCTGCCATGAATACGTATCTGGCTCTGGCGTAGTGATGACAATGCATTACCAGCTACTGATGTTCACACTTGGCTATGGCCCACTCGCTCAGTTCTTCTGCAGATACAGGCAACGTGGACCTCTGGATCAGCACGCTGTACCTACTAGGCTCACAATAGGTAAGATTCCGGTCTTTAAGAAATGCACACAGCTATAGAACACACCACTTTGCATAAAAAGGGTTCATGGACATTTAAGAAACCCAAGCCCATGACTCATGGAATTTTGGTCTGCTTTTCTTAAAACTTATTCTGATCATTTTCAGAAAATGTGGACTATGTCAAAGCCATTTTACATATTAGATTCCAAATAGAAGCTGAAAATTAAATCTACAGTTTAATTGTTGAAATTGTTAGATATTGCATCTGACATCTGTTGTGCTTGGAGTATTAGAATTTTGTATGCTTATACTGGTGTAGCTGTTTTAAAAATATATGTATATAAACCAACAAGAACTCTAGTTCTCAAAGAGGTCTTATTATTACTCATAAAATGATTTAGCATCTTGTGGCTTCATAGCAGGCCCCATGTATGGTGCTAAGGGCCAGGCTGGCCACGTGCCCAGCACCCTGCCCACTCTATTCCTGGGTAGCAGGACTCATTGGGTCTTAGTACATCTCTCATGACTGGGCCCCAACCTGGCCACAGGTGGTGGGTCAGACATCTTTTAACTCATTCTTTGGGGCAAAATAATGCATCACTTCAGGAAGGCATACATTAAAGAATAAAATATCTCCTCATATGCATTTTCTCCTGTGTGTCCCAAGAGTCCCTGTGATTGCGGGTATGAGTTGTGGGGGGTGCACATAGGACCCCATGATCCCCTCCGTGTGCATGTACCTGTGAATGGTGGGGGGCACACATAGGACCCCAGACCCATTCCCAGTGTATATCTGAGGGGGGGTGGTGCAGAGGACCCCGGGAGTAGAAGCAAGTATAAAGAAGAACCAGGGTACCCCCATCCCAGTGGGTAGCTTTGATGTGTCTGAGCCAACCAGGGCATCTCCCTTGTGGCTGTATGCTTTCACGAGCATTTCTGGCCAAGGAAGAAAGAGGGAAGAATTCTACAAGTTTTCTCTTCACTCTGAAACATGGAAGGGACATTTGAATTCTGTGATTTACAGGTGATGCCTGAAATTGCAGTAGCTTCCTTGGGTTCCTGGGTTGGGCAGGAAAAGCCTGGGAGCAGCAACCAACACTGCACTCCTGAGGGGCTCTCTGCATGGGAGCCACATTCCCCGTCATCAGCAGGGCTGAGGGCTGCCTGAGCTAAATGCTATGTTAGGAGGTTCTATTCCTTCTTGGCTACTCAGTGAGTCCCAAATTAACAGATAATCATTGCTCTGGACAGAATGTTCCTGCATCTGCTCCTGTGTTCAACCTTTCACAACATCTGAGCACCTGCTACATGCTGGGCAGGGTGTGAGACTTTGGGATCACACCTTGAAATGGACAAGTTACCTTCAAACAGTTGCAGTTGTAGTTTAGGGGACTGACAAGTGTTCTATGTTATGATCTGGTACATACAGAATATATTGTGGTTTGTTTTAAATCTAAGCAGTCACTCTTTATCTTAAGTAGGTACAAAATGGTCAATAACTTGGATTTAAAAAATAAAAATGACAAGAACATGACTTGGTTATTTCAAAAGCAAAAGACTATAATAAGTAAAACAAGCTTCATAAAACAATCCTTGTCTATAGTGTGTGTGATACACTGACATGTTCAGTGCCATTGAAAATAAACTTGTATAGTCAGCAAATTGGATGAAACTTGAGGAAATTTTACTGAGTTAAAAAAAATTTTAAAAGGATATATGTAGCATGGTCCCATTGATGTAACAATGGAGAACTGATGTTAATTATAAAAATGGAGACTGGTTACTGGTGCCAGGGTTATGCATGGGAGGAGTGGGTGTGGCTATTAAGGGGTGGTGATAGTATCTTGACTGGTGGTTCCAGAGGGCTATGTGTATGATAAAATTGTGTGGCGCACACATAGATGAGTGCAGACAAAACAGGACCTCTGAATATGCTGTGGGCTGTACCGGTATCAGTCTCTGGGTACTGACACAACTATGGCGTGTAAGATGTTAACACTGGGAGATGCCCACAGCACTTCCCTGCATGTTTTTTGCAACCTTCTTTGAATCTGTAATTCAAAATAAAAAGTTAAAACTGCTGGCCCTGACCCACTGAATTGATTATAAAACCTACCGTTTCAAAAGCAGTACCACCAAGCACCTGCGATGGGCAGGGAGGTGGGGAAGGCTTCAGTCTGAGCCTGGGCCTGGATGAGGAACCTCAAACTATGCAAAGCAGAGGAGTGTGTGTGAGTGAGTGAGGGGGGTGTTGTGGACACAGGCCATGAGCAATAACTGCCATGTGCTGATGAGGGCTGTAAGCTATGATCAAGGGTCTGGATGTGATTCTTGGGGTGGTGGGTAGCCAACCTTGCATCTTACAGAGACCTCTGGCTGCTGACAAGAAGGATCTGGGGGGAGAGTGCCCAATGTAGACAGCAGTTGGCTGCTACATGGAACAGGCAAAAGATGACAAAGGTTTGGACCTTTGCACTGAGTTCATAAAAAGTGGCTGGATTCAGCATTTATTTCTAGGTTGAGCCAAAGGACTGAGATTCCTTAGGCAATGCTTTTATGCAGTAATAACAAATTTGTTAGTTTTTAAACCAAAAGTGAACCGCATATTAAGACAATTTAACTTCTTATTCAAAAGAAATGTTTCCCTGGTTTATCTGTACTAAGGTAGTGAAGAACCCAAAACTTTCCTGGGGTGATGATGCAAGTCACAAGTAGCAATGGACCCTCACTGTCATAGGCTGAATTGTTCCCCCACATTCCTGTGTTGAAGCTATAACCCCCTGTATATCTGAGACTATATTCGGAGATAAGGTCCTTAGAGAAGTTAAAATGAGGTCATCGGGGTAGGCCATAATCCAATATGACTGGTGTCCTTAAGAGATTAGGACAGAGGCACAGAGGGATAATATGTGAGGACACAGTGAAAAGGTGGCCATCTGCAGGCTGAGAGGCCTTCAGAGAAACCAACCCTGCTTTTACCTTGATCTCGGGAATTCTAGCTTCCAGAACTGTGAGAAATAAATGTCTGTTTCAACTATGCAGTCTGTGGCATTTTGTTTGGCAGCCCTAGCACATTAATACAGTCACCATTCCAGATTAACAACACTTGAATAAAAGAGTTCTTAGCACCAGGTGTCACCCTCCTAGGCAACATAGCAACTTTGTTAACTAGTGTGTCTCTGGCTTGCTCCACTCTCTTCAGCCTCCCTCCCCAGCTTAAAACAAAGCTGGCCCTGCCCAAAATGTGAGGAAGTGCGTGTTCTCCATCTGCCCCACCCAGGAAGGGCCTGCCTCTTCTCTGCCCACTTGTGCAGACAACACACAGCACACAGCCTGCACCATCCTTCACCTCTGCTCCTCAGGGTTACTTTTTGCCTCCTGTTGGTGGCATCTGCCCCACACAACTGGAATCTTCCTTTTTACTGGGGGTGGGGGAAGGAATGGGCAAGTCTTGGTCATCTTCCCAGGACCAGATAAGGAAGGGCAGCATCTCTCACCCACATCCATCCTCAGGTGAATTAATTTGGACTCTAACATAAGATAGAGAGACACTTGATTAAACTTACATTTATTCACAGCATGCTTAATTCTGTGACAAGAAGGCTTGAGCCTTGGTTGTTCTGGATCTCAAAGGCAGTGTGTTTAGGCAGCTGCCTGCAGCTCTACCTCTTGAACTCCACCTGTGTGTACACCTTGGTGATGTCGTGGTACCTGCCTTCAGGGGGCTGGTAGCTGGAGACCGGTGGCGTGTAATCTGGCCCTTCTCTCTCAAAGGGGAACAGACTTGGGTCCCGCTTGATGGCCTCTGCATGGAGCTCTGGGGATGTGAGTTGCAGCTCCTGAAGAGCTTCCTGCTGGGCCTTAAGCATGGACTTGATAGCATCCCTTTCCATCTTATGCTCTTGCTGCTTGTACAGGGACCACTTCTTCAGAAGCAAAGCTCTCCGCTCACTCTCCTCAAAGGAGAGCTCTACCTGAGGCCGCTGTCTGGGAACACAAATTCAGGTGTGAAGCTGGGGAGCACTGACATTGCTGACCAGGGAGTCTGGGTGACTGCATATGGCCCAAGCATCCTCACTGCTAGACACAGATGGAACTCAGGAAAGCAAGTCAAAGTTTAGGACAAATTAAGGAATGGAATGTTAAATGTGGTGGCAGCTGCAATTGATGCTGGAAACCGGTGCTATCTGCTTTACATGGAGACAAGAGAGTGACACTCTGAGGAGACAATGGTGGCACTTCCTCTCCCCCAGGCAGATACTACCATTGGTGAGAGGTGACTTTGGAGAAAAGTGAAACGGTATAATGAATGGACACCAAAATCCCAGGGAGTCGAGCCTGTATCAGCCCTGGAGTACCAAAAAAGCATCTACTGTGTACCACTTATATGGCGAGGTGCTGCTTTATAAATGGCACACATTTTTTATAAGACAGAAACCCTGCCAACCCTGCACACAACACATCTCAACTATGAGCATCTTCATCACAAAGCAAGAGGCTTAGGGTTTTCTATTACCAGGATAGGCAAGGAATGCAGACCCAAGGCCCAAATCATCAGTCACAGCTACAACTTCTCATGGAAAAGAGCAACAGTGTGAACTTTTGATACAAACTCAGTCAAGCTTCTGGCCTGGCTTATCAAACAATTCAGAGTTTCTTTCCCACATTAAGCCATTCAAGAGCATCACCCAGGACTTCTTTCTCTGACTCCCATGAGACACGATCAAGGAGAAAAAGACTCAAACCAAGGCCAAGTCAGTCCAAGGCTACTGACCCCTTCTAATCACTGGTATGAACTGCAGAGAAAACTACCTGAAGGTGATGGAACTCCTTTGCCCTGAGGACCTTAACCCTAGAGGACTCTTACCTCACTTTATCCAAGAATTTCACAGGTGTAATAAAATCTTCAATAGGAATTAGCTCCTGGCTAGCTTTTTCCAGTCGCCGGATCCTCTTTTTCAAACGGTCCTTTACTGCTTGGTCTTTTTTAGGATCTATCTTCTTTTTCTTTCGCAGAGGTTCTGCTCTAATGGATAAAACAAACATTAAACATTTTCCTCTTCAGTCTCACAAACATGCTGGGAGACATGGCACTGAAGTGCCCCAAACTTTTAGTGAGCTCTTCACTGTGGAAAGAACTGCATGGTCCTGACCTCATAGGCAGAGCGTGGCAGGGAGATGGCCTCCACCCCAGGATCCTTGTGAGACCGTGTGGGCACTGTCAATGCAGGAAGGGGTGGAAAAGCTTCATGGGGCATAAATTAAGGGGAAGTGCTCATCGTTAGTGCTGGAATTCAGGTGTGCGTTGGGATTGCACTGCAAAGTGAAAATACCAAACTGATGAATTAGTTCATTGCATCTTAAATAGATTTGTGATTTATAAAAATGATTTGAGTAAGAATAAGAGAGACAACACAATAAAAGTGACATGCCCCTACTTTTTGGGATTTCTTAACAAATTTCCCCATGCTGGAGCATTAATAAAAGTCTGATTTACTCTCAGGACCACATCTGTGGTGCTAATTAACTATTAAGAATAATCAGTTCTCTAGCATCAAGACCAAGTTTCATGAATAAAGTCCTGAGAAAGCGTCCAGAGTTCCAGGTGGAAAAACTGGTTCTCACACCTTCTCTCACTTCTCCAGGGAGTCAGAAATGGAAAGCCCATGGAGAAACAGAAGTTTATGCTTTGCCCTTTAACAAGCACAGGAATCCATTCAAGGTTAATTAAGTTTTACTTAAATTACTTTTACATTTAATTTTTGTCTTCTGTTAGACACAACAGAATATTTGAAAAGTCAGAAAAACATCTGCCTAAATTTTACTGAGAAACTTTGTAGGCTATTAATTTTGCAAACCAAATAGCGAAGTCTTGCTTTGTTCTGTTCATGCCCACATCTGTCTCCCCCGGACACCCCCATAGAGGCAGATGCACATATGAGTTTACCTCATAGGAATGAGTTCCCAGAAAGAGAACAATGAAGCTCGCTGGTGGGTGTCTCTAATCTGTGTCTGCCAAGTTCCCAGCAGCCTGAAAGAGATAAGAGTATGCATAAATATCTGATTCTCCCCCATTAAACAGGAAAAGAAAAAAATCCCCTATCAAGCCAGAGGGCACTTGGGGCAGTCCCTGTTCGACAGAGTCCTCGGGTTTTCATCCACAGGAAGAGACGAGATCAGCCGGCTTATTCCTTAGATATCCTTGGACCCGGGCGATCGAAGTGGGAGCGCAGGCGAGG